TTTCGTCGATTTGAGCTCTTCTTCCCCCTTTAAGCTTCAAGAACTTGGGTAAGTCTTCTTTCATGGCTTGTTTAATTTCAGTTTTGAACTTCTTGCCTTGAACTCATGGGTTTTGGTTTGATAGTTAAAACCCTAATTCTTGAATTTGGGGAAAACTGAAATTGATGTTGGTTGAATGGCCGAATTTTGAACTTTGTTGCATGAATTCGTGTAAAGAACTGAAGTTGTTGATTAGAACTCTTTGTTAGCCAAAATTTTCACTGTCCATGGCCAAAACTTATTGTTCATGGCCGAAAAACTTGTGGATTTCTTGGGATTGATGGTTGGCCGACCCCCTTTGTTGCACCTGTTCATGGCTGAGTTTGTGGCTGAGTTTGCACTTGTGTATGGCCTGAGAATTTCTTGGTTGTGGTTATGTGCATGACCTGATGATTGACATATTAATTTGATCCCTTAGCATCAATTGTGTATGAGGGCTAAACTCTTTCGCTTGATTCTGGTGCTCGTGTTTGTATTTGATTGAGAATGAGGTTGATGACTGAATGCGTGGTCGAACGATTTGCTTTCGAACTTGGCTTGTAGCCGAATGACCCGAATTCATACCTGTATGTGGCTAAGAATTGACTTGAACTCGAACTTGATTATTGGCCGAATTATTTGAACTTTGTGCTTGTGTATGATTCAAGCTTTGTATATGCCTGAATTCGTGTATATGTGGATCCTTGTACATGATTGCACTCTTGTATGGTTCGAACTTGTACGTGATTGAATGTGGATCCTTGTACATGATTGCACTCTTGTATGGTTCGAACTTGTACGTGATTGAACTCGATGTGACTGAATCCAAACTTGTATTTCGAACTTGTACGTGATTGAACTCGATGTGACTGAATCCAAACTTGTATGTGGTCGAAATAACTTGAACCCCACCTTGTGTACGGCTCGAGAACTTCATATGCCTTGAATTTGAGCTATTCTTGTATATGATTGAGCTTTGAGGGGGTTATATGCAAAAGAGATCACAAATTGTTGAGGGTTTTTTTTTTGGCAAAATTGGCTAAATTTTACAAAAGGGTTTATTTGCAAGATTAACCAAAATTGTGGGGTACTGGGGGTGCTATGTGATCAGGTATGATGACCATGACCCAACTCGAGCGTGTCCTTGACCCGAATTTAGCCTTGAACACGAAGGGTATTCTGGGTATTTCATCAAAATTTATCGCGAAAATGACAATTATTGTTTCGCATGCACGAAATTTGTAGGTTTAACTAGACTTCAACTATAAAATCCTATTTATACATAGGATTTTAATTAAAGTTCTTAATTTCCCTTTTAAATTTCGCGTATTCATACTTTAGATTGTATCTGACTTGCTGCTTTTCATTGCAGGTTTCCGATGCCTCCACGCCGATCTCGACTTCCTAGGAGTCGCTCCTGTTCGCAGCTTAGCGAGGAAAAAGTTCCCGCAGCATCCTCCCCTCCAGCAGCTTCCTTTTTTGGGGGTGGGAATTTTTTTATTTTTTTGTATCCCCGATTGATCCCTTCGCGGGTCATGAAGGAAGAACCGACACCCTCCTTCGCGGGGGTCGAGGTTTCGGACTTGTCTTGCTTGGCCAATTCAAGTCTTCTGGTATATTGGGGCGATTTTGTGTCGTCCTACACCTTATAGGTCGGTGTATGTTACCACGTTATTCACGTGATGATGCATACCGTTCTTCCTTCGCGGGGGTCGAGGTTTCGGACTTGCCTTGCTTGGCTAATTCAAGTCTTCTGGTATATTGGGGCGATTTTGTGTCGTCTTATACCTTATAGGTCGGTGTATGTTACCACGTTATTTACGTGATGATGCATACCGTTCTTCCAGTGTAGGACACTCAAAATCGTCTCTCCAATTATCCCGTGACTGATCTTATCTCACTTTTTATGAGCTTTCTGACTCTATCCTTGCAGTCGAGTTCCCCGCAGGCAGCCTTCCTCCTCATGCTAATACTGGTTGTAGCCGGGAGGTCTTCTCTTCAGCTTCCATCAGGCAGGCCGTTAGTCCACTCCCTCAGTTTGACAGAGATCGCTCCGACGAATCCTGTCGTTTGATACGGGATGGAGGGCGTCATTGCTTACGCCAGCTGATTACGGACGCCTCCTTCACTGCAGATTCTACTTCCACTCAGGCTTTAAAGAAGCCCGGTTTCCTGTTCGGGGATCACATTGAGGATCCTGCTACGTTGACCCTTACCGAGGAACACTGGCTGACTCTCGACGAAGGAGCTCTCTTGTACATTCCCTCCATTCCGCGTCAATATTCTTTCAGTCACTTGAAGGGACAGGCCGTGGAGCGACAGATGTCTTGGCACTGCCCAAGGGGTGGTGGACACGCATGACCAGTTACGTCTTGGGGCGCTGGGAGAAGGATTTGAAGAGCAGCGGATTGTATGCACCTATACGGGCCACCATGTACGGACTTCCGGTCAGCTACCGCTATTTCTTGGCGTTGTTGGAGACATACATGCCCGACAGTAACACGTTCATGACCAGCGGCGGAGAGTTAGGGTTGGCCTTACATGAGATGTATCAGGTTTCTGGTCTTCCAATGGGGGATTGTCCATATCAGGAGTACTTTCCCTCGAACCAGCAGTTGGGGTGGTTGAAGAAGGATACTCCCGACATGCATGATACTCTTTGGGACCTCACTTGTCATTATTATACCTCCTTGATCAAGATTTCTCCTCCAGCGAAGAAGAAAAGGCAAATCAGCTTGAAGCAGTTTGCTGTCTATCTGTTTCCTAATTTGGAGGGTGACTCCGGCGAGCCCCTTCGTGAGTTAGATGTCCTGACCCCTACTGCCATTAATGAGTTGATGGAGAAGGCTGAGGCTCACTCTTACACCATTTCCCGTGCTGAGGGAGCTTTTCCTGCAGGAACCAAGTTTCGTTCGTTCCTCCGCCGTGCACAGAAGTCCATCGAGCCCCGGACTCTGCTAGCAGGCTACATTGCCCTCTGGTTGAAGAAGTGTGTTGTTCCGTACCGGTCTTTAGACGCCTTACCTCTCGAGGTGCTCTTCCCCGCAGTTCAGCTAGCTTATGGGAAGGAGCTTTCACTGCTCCCAGCGATGGTTGCCGGCATCCATTACGGGCTTAGGTATCTGGTCAGTGGTTTTACACGGGTGGGTTCTAAACCATCGACCGAGCTTACTTGTCCGAAGGTCGAGCTTCCTTATGCGTATCTGATGGCGTGGCTCGTTCTTCACCGTCCTGACTTGATGTCGGCGCCTAGCGTTGTTGATGTCCCCGTTCCTTTCGTGCAGCTGTTGGAGAGGAGTAGATGGCTCGTGAAGAAATTCGACGATGCACAACGAGAGTTTCAAGTTCGCAAGAGCTGGGAGTTCTTCAAGTGTTTTCCCCACTTTTCGGGTCGCTATGGTGATGTGCTGACTGATGAGGAGAAACTCAGAACTAATCGGACTGCTCTCGACGTTGGTTGTTTCCGCTGGTTAGTGAACATCCGTGTTGGGTATCTCGTTCTCCGGGTGAAGAATCATTGCCACATAGAGTCTTACCTTCCCTGCCGTTTTGCTCGTCAGTTCGGTTACGACCAACTATATGTTGGGAATCCGAGCCGTGGTTTGAAGGTTGAGGGGGGGCTTATTGATGGCGTACGGGCATGGCTATGGACTATGGTGGGCTGCACCGGAGCCCACTTTGCTCTTCCTTCATATAGGCGCAAGCCGATGATTACTTTCCTCAGTTGTAAGTGGTTCCTCTCCGCCAATGAATCCATAGGTGTGAGGAGTCTTTCAGAGTTAGAGTCTGAGTACTCAGTCCAGGTCGCTATGATGGCTGCTCGTAAAGCCGAGCTTACTCAGAAACAGAAGAAGAAGTCTGCCAAACCTCCTCTCTCAAGCAAAGACGATGAAGAGCTCCTTCCTACTGATGATGATGACGAGACTTCTGAGGAGGAGTATGTGGATATAGATATTGACCAAGAAGAACTTGATGCAAGTTTGTCATACTCTTTGATCCTCTTTCTCAACTTCAATTGATATCAACGAAAGATCTGGTTCATTTAATGAAATAATCCTTATCATTTCAGGTAGGACAGCCGACGACCATGAGTCGCTCGCTTCCCGTCGTGCGAGATTCAGGCCTGGTGGCCAAGCTCCTACCCAGGTTGATACACGTGGCCAGTCCACGCACGAACGACCCGTTGGTTCTATGAGGGGTGATTTTCCGAAAAAGAAAAAGATCGCTCATAAACCACACGTTGGTCAGCGCTCCTATGAAGTGGATTTAGGAGGCTTCGCCGACAGGGAAGAAGGTAATACTTCGTCGTTTTCATTGCTTTAAGATGACTTACCTTCTGGGATTCATAATCATGTTTTATGTTCCAGGGTTCTTTGAAGAGGGCGAACTCCCATTGTCTCCCGTATTCACTGGTTCTGATAATATGGATAGCTTCATGGAGCAGATGTACGACGCCCTTCGTGACGGTTCTCTGGGTATCGATCTAAACATTGATCTTGGACAGGTGAATAGTGTTGAGCCCACCGTTCCATATTCAGGTATATCTACATCCGATGATACCCTCCTCAAACATGGGGAAAGAGAATCTTCTGTTCTTGCTGCAGGTATTTCTGAGCTTTTCCTTCTTCTTTATCTTCTTATACATATCTCCAACATTTTGGTTGTCCTGCAGATGTCGCGATGGAAAAGCCAGCTGAGGATCAGATCTTTCATGATGTGGGCTTCGAGGAACAGAGGTGTGCCTCTGTACCAGGTTCCTCGGGACCCGACGCTGGATTATTAGCCGATATGTTGGCTGAGCAGGCCACCAGAAGAACCGTCGGGACCTGACGCTGGATTATTAGCCGATATGTTGGCTGAGCAGGCCACCAGAAGAACCGCGGGACCACCCTTTGAGAGTGATTCATTCACAGGTATATATCTGATTCCCTTCATCTTGCCTGATCTTTTGTCTGACTAACGAAGGATTAATATTATAGTGCCAGTCATTGGGATTAACCCAATATTGATTCCCGGCATATCTAGTTTACCTCGGAGTGACGGACTTGCAGGTACGCATACGATTTAGGGACATCGTACTCCTCTTTATTTATCTGACTTTTGACTAATATATGGGTGCAATCATAGGACCAGCCACCGGGACTGATACTCTTATGACTCCTGGCATTCCCCGGATACCTGAGGATGATGGACCTACAGGTATGCAGACGATCTTATCATCCCGATTTTCCTTATTTGTCTAAATTTTCATTTTGACTAATAAAGAAGTGTAACTATAGGACCAGCCGTTGTGCCTGATGCCACTACAGTTTCTGGGACTGATAGTTTGCCTGAGAGTGTTTTCCCCCCGCCACAGCCGAGAAGTATGACTGATTTGCCTACAGGGGTTGATATACCCTCCATGACTACTCCTGCAGTTATTTCGGAACCTGTCGGATTTCGGCCTGAGGGGACCCCCGTTGGCCTTGGTATGCTCGGAATTTGCCTTTAAATTTTCTTATCGTATTCGATAATCTCTTAGCTTTCCACACTGTTTCTTGTAGGATCTCGATCATCTCTATATGAGCATGTCCGCGCCCTCTTGGCTGATACCGATCCTGACAAAGACATTTTCCGTACGGACCTCGGCCTTTTTACCGTCTTTTATAATGGCATGATCGAGAAACTTCTTCATCGAGGATACGGTTTCGATCAGTTCAGGCGTTCTTTTTCTCGTCACATGCTGATGTTCAGAGAAGAAGGGTATCCAGAGTTGGCCGATTCCTTCACCGCCGATTTTGCTGTTCTGGAGTCGGAGATCCGAGAGTTGTCTCAGATGGAGCATAGGCTGACACAGTGGCACGACCTGAGATCTTCCATCGGTAGCGAGCTTCGATCACATGAGCATTCTGTTGCGCAGCTGATGGCTACCGTGGCGAGGAAGGATACAGGTAGAGCCGAGCTACTCAGCTCTTTGGATTCCGGCCGTGAGGAAGTGTCTAGATTGAAGGAGGCCTTGAGGCACGCCGAGGAGTCCGTTACTCTTATTGCAGAAGACCTGGCTGGATTAGAGCGTTCCCGTGAACAGACGCTCGAGAAGCTGGGATCTACACAGGAGAGATTGATGAAGCTGAAGAATGAAGCCGCGGAGATCTTAAGCAGTTCCGAAGACTCTGTCCGAGCTAGTCTGCAGGCAGAACTTGAGCAGAGCTATGCAGACAGGCTTTCTAGTTTAGAGTCTCATGTTCTTAGCCGTCAGTTGCCTTCGGGCTAACGAGCTTTTTATTATATGCTTTTGACTTAATTTATTACTAGAGACACTGCATTTGCTTCTTTCATGATATTTCTTTATTTACTTTGAACCCAGCAATGATAAAATTTATAGGATTTTTGGCAAACCCCCAGCCCTCAACGGGTTTGATATGCCTTTACCGATTACCGTTTGAATCGGGCTAGCATGCGGATTGTCTAGATCCGTTCCACATGTAACGTTGTGCTAAGAGAATTGCTTTTCTTAGACTTAATGCTATGACTTTGAATACATAGACTTCACCATTTCTTATAGGGAAAAGGTACCCCGCACCGCGTATTAGGCGATGACTTATCCCTTCTTAGGCTTCGGGATAAAATTCCCCAGGCTTAGACCATGGTGTCTTTTTTAATCGGCGAAAGACTAAACCGGTAATGCGTGTTAGACATAGACTTTGGGATTTTTGGCAAACCCCCGGCCATCAACGGGTTTGATGTGCCTTTACCGACTACCGTTTGAATCGGGCTAGCATGTGAATTATTAAAACATGTTTCACATGTAACGTTGTGCTAAGAGAATTGCTTCTCTTAGACTTAATGCTATGATTTTGAATACATAGACTTCACTATTTCTTATAGGAAAAAGGTACCCCGCACCGCGTATTAGACGACGATTTATCCCTTCTTAGGCTTCGGGATAAAATTCCCCAGGTTTAGACCCTGGTGTCTTTTTGTAATCGGTGAAAGACTAACCGGCAACGCGTGTTAGGCGTGGACTTATCTCTTTTTAGGAGTTGAGATAAAATTCCCCGTGCACAAAGTGCACGGATTGGAAGTTGGGAATTTTGTCTTTTCTCAGGGTAAAGACGAACTGGAAAATGGAAGAGGAAGAATTTTATATTCTATCTCCCGGTACCAAAGAGGAAGAATTTTATATTCTATCTTCAGTTGGAAAAGAAACTCAAGGTGGGATCTCCACCCCCAGAATCCGAAATGATAAAACTAAGAGTGGGATCTCAACTCCGAGAATTAGAAAGGTTCAAACGACCCTAACTTTTATAGGATTGGTCATTTGAATCAAAAGAATCCCTCATTCATTGAGGAGAAAGCCCAATTTCGACCCTAACTTTTATAGGTTTGGTGGAAAAAGAACAAAAGCAGATTTTCGTTTATCGAAAAGAAATAACTCGGTCTTAGTCCTAACTATCTGTAGGTTTGACTAAGTGAGATTGGGAACAATCCTAACTTTTATAGGTTTGATTGCTCAATTTAAAATGGACCTCTCGTTCATGGAAGGAATCGAGAGAGGAATTTGGCTTTGGCCCTAACTTTTATAGGTTCGACCTAAAAGCAAAAGTGGAATACAGGTAGCAAAGAAAGTGCCAACTCGTATTATCACTCAAAGGAAGACTTTAATGCTCGGTGATTAGGACCTAACATGTTGAGTCTGAGAAATGCCAACGACGGGCAGATGGAAATGTTGGTGGATCCACCCTCATTTAATTTGATCAGCGAATGGTTTGGTGAGGAAAGATTAACCTATCAAAGGATTGGATCTTATCTCACAAAAATAACTCATAAGAGTCAGAGAATTTGACAATAAGAAGGAACATTCCGACATTCAGAGTTCGAACGAGAATTTCTTATTCATCGCTCCTATAATGATTGGGTTATCCCTAAGAATACCTCATATGATGTTCTTCTGGGAACTTCCCGATGCATTGGTTATCCTGAAGATACTAAGGATAGTATTTTTTCAGGAACTTGACGTTTTAAATGAGACTTAAAATATATTAAGTGTTGGGTAGGGGAACCCTTTCCATCAAACGGCGTAAAGTTGATCATATTAAACTTTGCCGGATAAGGAATTGATTCCCACTCCCTTGGGTATGGACATGGTATGCCGGACCTTTTCACTTCTTGAGCATTCATCAACGCGTTGATTTTGCTCTCCAAGTCCTTCATCTTCTTGTCTTCACTCGTACCTGTCTTCGAGTGGCTTCAGGGAGAGGTAACGTGGTCCTCCTTCGCATTCCAATTCTTCAAGGCGCTTCTGATGTTGCTCTTCGGTCGTCATGTGAGTCGCGAGGGCAATTCGAAGTGACGGGATTTGAATCTCCAAAGGGAGAATGGCTTCACATCCGTACACTAATGAATATGGGGTTGCGCCGATCGGTATACGCACCGTGGTACGATAGGCCCATAGAGCTGCGCCGAGTTTGTCCTCCCAATCCCGCTTGTTATTCTTCACGATTTTTGACAAGAGCTTTATGATAGTCTTGTTGAAGGCTTCAGCTAATCCATTTGCTGTGGGATTATAAGCCGTTGACGAGATATCCTGAATTTTAAACTTTTCGCAAAACCTTATGAAGGCGTTGCTGACAAATTGAGGACCGTTGTCATGTATGATTCGTCTTGGAACACCATACCTATAGATGATATGGTGCTTGATGAATGCAATAACATTACTCGTTTTAACTTCTCTGAGTGGAACTGCTTCAGCCCATTTGGAGAAGTAATCGGTAATTGCCAGGATGAACCGGTCGCCTTTGACTGATGGGGGATTTATAGGGCCAACAATGTCCATTCCCCAAGTCTCGAACGGCCATGACGTAACCGAAGGATGCAGATGCTCCGGAGGTTGATGCATATCGCATGTACTTGACATGCGTGACACTTTCGGGCATATCTGATTGCATCACTCATCATGAAAGGCCAAAAATACCTCATTCTTTTGATGCGGTCATAAAGCTTGGGACCAGGTTGGTGCGCGCCACACTCTCCTTCATGCGCCTCCCTAAGGACTTCTTCAGCCTCTTTCGTCGATAAGCAACGCAATAGCAAACCATCGTACCTCCTGCGGTATAACGTTCGATTCTCCGTGTTATAGTAGAATCTCGGCGCTCTTCGTCGGATTGACTCTCTTTCTTTCATGTCTTCTTGTAGGATTCCATGTAAGACGTAATCGATGATGGGGAAACGCCAATCTCGGGGTTCAAATTCAATTTGGGTTGAGTGTGTTTCCTTAATCTCTTCTTCTTCGCTATCTTCATTGTAGATCGGCACTAAAAGTTGGTGAGTCCTCACTGTAACAAACTGTTCTGTTTCGGGAGGTTGTGCCAGAGATACAGCCAATGCTGCTAACGCGTCTGCGTAGGTATTCTGTAGCCGTGGAATATGTTCGATAAAGAATCCTTCGAATGATTCTGCCATCTCCACTGCCATCTTATGGTATGGTATTAAATCTTGGCTTCGAACCTCGTACTCTCCCTGAACTTGTTTAACTATCAGTTGAGAATCGCCGAAGGCTTCGAGATACTCCACCCCCAGTTCTTTAGCAAAACTGAGTCCTATGAGTAATGCATTATATTCGGCTACGTTATTTGAGCACGGTTCAGTCAACGAGTAGGATCGAGGCATCACGTGTTTTCCCGGGGAAACTAAGACAACTCCAACTCCGGAAGAAATCTTAGAACTTCCAGGAGCACTTGCAACATTAGTTGCTCGCGAAGCGCCGTCGAAGTATAAACGCCATACTTGTTGGTGTGAAGTCGCGTTGACTTCGTGGGTTTCATCAGGTAGGTCGTCATATATCTCGGCGGTATCCGTGCTCGCGAAGCGCCGTCGAAGTATAAACGCCATACTTGTTGGTGTGAAGTCGCGTTGACTTCGTGGGTTTCATCAGGTAGGTCGTCATATATCTCGGCGGTATCCGTAGTTGGATTGTCTGCCAGGAGATCACAGATGGCATGTCCTTTTACTGACTTCTGTTGTTTAAAATGCAAGTCGTATTGGGACAAGAGTAAGGCCCATTTTGCTAATCGCCAGCTCATGGAAGCTGGTTGAGTCATGAACACTCGGACTGGGTTAACTTTAGAGATAACATAAATGGTCTGTCCAACCAGATAATGTCGCATCTTCTGAATAGCGAACACTAAAGCGAGGCATTCTCTCTCAATCATAGGATATCGAGATTCAGCGCCTACCATGGTTCGGCTTAAATAATAAACAGCCTGCTCATGACCGTTATCGTCATCTTGTGCAAGTAATGCACTTAATGAGTGGCTCGTCGCCTTGACATAAATCAAGAACGGTTTGCCCGATTTCGG